ACCATGCACACACCATAAACACACACATACACACACACACATATCATGCCATACACATACACACACCCCACAAAAACACACACACATTCCATTTGGATTAAATATCTAAATATAAATATAAAAACAGAAAGCTAGAAGAAAATCAGGAGAATGACTGTCTATATTTTAGTGAGACATTCTTAAGCAGGTCAGGAGACTTAGAAACTATAAAGGGAAAACCAAATTTCACTACATAAAAATTTTAAGAGCCTCCATAATCAAAGGTAAAAGACACGTAATAACTTGGTACAAACATTTGCACCACACATATAAAATTTATTTATTTCAAGTGATCCTATAAATTGATAGGAAAAAAGATCAAAGTCCAATAAAATAAGCAAACAATGTGAATAGGCAAGTGACAGAAGAGGAAACTTCATGTAAGAGTGGTTAATTGAGGGGCACCCGGCTGGCTCAGTAGGTGGAGCCTGTGACTCTTGACCTCGGGATTGTGGTTTCAAGCCCCACCCTGGGTGTAGAGATTACTTAAACATAGAATCTTAAAAAAAAAAAAAACGATTCATTGAAAACAATGAAACAGGCAAAGGGATTAAGGTGGCAAAATGTCATTTTCACAAACCAGATTGGCCAAAATTCGAAAGGCCAGCAGCATCCAGTCTGATGATCACATGGGGAAAGGACATTGTCAAAGAGAATGGGAGTTACCACTACCTTTTGGGAAAACCAGCAGGCAGTAAATACTAACGTGCAGACTACAATCCTCCTTTATCCTACACATTCCCTTTTCCCCAGCAATCCCAATGTGAGAGTCTAACTCAGGGCAATAAAGGCACCTGCATATTAGGGATACCTGTGGAAGGCTGTTTATTGTGTCAAGTTTATAGTGACAGAAAAAAATTGGAATAGGGCAATGGCTGAATAAAATATGTAGCTTTGGAAAAGCATGGTTTATATCTATCTACGTATGACCGGGAGGGATATCCCCAATATCCGTGATATTGTGGAAAAGAGCAAGCAATATGTATAATACGATTTTCAATGTATTTTGAAAAAGAAAAGAGGGGCGCCTGGGTGGCTCAGTCGTTAAGCGTCTGCCTTCGGCCCAGGTCATGATCCCAGGGTCCTGGGATCGAGCCCCGCATCGGGCTCCCGGCTCAGCGGGAAGCCTGCTTCTCCCTCTCCCCCCGCTTGTGTTCCCTCTCTCTCTGTCAAATAAATAAAATCTTAAAAAAAAAAAAAAAAGAAAAGAAAAAGGCAAAATCCCTTATTTGTTTAGATATGTAATACAGATTATGTATATATATTACATATACAGACATACATTCTAAATATAAATTCATGTATGAGTAGACATCCGTTACTTTCCAAGCATGAGATTTAGGGAGAAACTGAATAAAGACAGAAAGAAAGGAAGAAATGAAGGAAGGAAGACAAGGAAGGGAAATGGATTACTCTCTAAAGATTAACTTTTCGCCCTAATCTGAATAAAACTGCAGTCAGTTGCTTCTGTGTCTTTGTGTACTCTCAGCGCCCCACAGCCTGCCCCAGGGGTCAGTGTAAACCAGTTGGAGAAGCACAGTGTGTTACACCATGTTAGAAAAGTAAGCAGAGGGTGCCTTGGGGGCACAGGGAGTTTCGTATTAAATCACACGTTGTGTCTCGGGGCCCTCCCGCCTGGCTGCCCAAAGCTGGGTCTTGTGTTTGTCCCTAAAGCCACACCAGAAGAGCAGGGACAAAATGGAGCACCCTTGGGTCAGGGAGGAGCACAATGAGGTATCTGGTAACCTCACTCTATGAGAAGGGACTGAAGGACCTGTATAAAGAAATATGTCTGGGGCACCTGGGTGGTTCAGTCGGTTAAGCGTCTGACTCTTGATTTGGGTTCAGGTCGTGCTCTCAGGGTCGTGAGATGGAGCCCCTAACTGGGCTCTGCGCTCAGTGGGGAGTCTGCTTCAGATTCTCTCTCTCCCTCTGCCCCTCCCCCAACTCATGCTCTCTCTAAATAAATAAGAAAAATCTTAAAAAAGAAAAGA